TCGCACATGTAAACAAACATGTTGTTTTTACACTTACACACTCCCACGCATAACGGATACATTTACAGACATCCACACACACACACATGAACATGTATGCATACACACGCACATTCATACAAACCCCCGAATTTCATTCTCAACTTCACCTGAAACTCAATTACAAGAACCGTCCGTCTGTTAAGAAATCCAATTGTCAAAACTCGATCCCCTTCGCCTTGGAAATCCCAAGCACACGGACTAATTTTCCTTCGCCGTGGCCGCTAACCAAGTCCCAGAATAACTCAAGATCTACTCTGATTCATTTCCTGTCTGACATCACTCTTTGAATCACAGAGAGAGCAGCCAAACGCCGAATGGAACCGGATGTCTTGAGTATCGTCTTCTGACTTGTCCTTTCTCTCTAGGATATATCCGAGGACCTGCAGGCTCTGCTTTCGGTCAAATGTTCCTGGTTGCCGTCGAGACCTCACATGAAGGTCAACAGCTCGACAATCCATGTTGTTGGGTGCAGCGTTCAGTCAGAAGTACGTTCAAGACATATTTACTTCTTATTTATTGAATAAACAAATATAACTGTTATATATGTTATAAAAATTATCTGTTGAAGTTAATGAAGATTATTTGATCGCTGTTTATTTTACAAAAAAAACAACACAATTTATGAATATTTATATTGTTTTGACAGATGTTTCCTCTGGGGATCCTGCAACTGGCGCGTCGGACTGACAACTTAGAGATCCTAGTAAAGGATTCCCCTAAACTACGACTGGCTCCTGTGTCGAAAGCTGAAAACACTGTGCCCAGGATTTCTGCCAGTTTCATTAACAGGTAAAATCTTCATTACTTGCCCTCCAAACTAATGAAGCCCGCTTACGTAATTTTACTTTCATAAATGATTATGTATGTCACATTTAAATGCTGTGGGTCTTGAAAACTGAAAACAATATGTTCAGATACTCAAGGCAACGGTCAGAACTAACACGTAGGTTCCATGCACTGTATATACGTTTCATTATATCATATCATTACCTATGTGGCCATGGTCTACCAATTACAATGGTAACATTAATTGTACTAATATTGGCCATAAAAGACCGGCTTCCTTACCTCCCTTCCTATTCCACCCCCCCCCCCCCCGTCTCTTTCTTACTAATGCCATCTATGGGTCACGTGTGCAATCATATGCCAGGTTGAGATTATAGGGGGAACTTTAATGAAATTCTTCGGCATTTATGTATTCCAGTTCCTTACCTAACCTAATCTAATTTAACCTTATCTATGAAGGCATATTTAACATGGCCTTAAAATCCATTGCTTAATGATAGCTTTGATTTTATAGCTATGATGACAGGCTATAATAGATGTTTTCATATGCATTTATTTGTCCAGTTCATTCCGTTATTTGTGATACTTTTCAATCCATTCCACACCTATGTACTTACAGACCTACATCGTAATACTTTTTTCTTCTAAATACAATTATCTGCTACATTAATCACAAGAAAAAGAGAAAAATATTTATATAAAAAGACTGAACACTTGATATTGATAAAATCTAACAAAGCGAAATATATTGAAATTATAAAAACTAACATTTATATAAAAAAGACTGAACACTCGATATTGATAACACCCGATAAAACGAAATAAATGTTACACCGTAGCAACCTGAGCGGTCTACCCGAGGGATGGGTGACAGGCGGGAAGGAGGTCGAGCTCGTCTTCAAGGATTCCGAAGTGTCAATCATCGAGTCCCGAGCTATGGCTGGGTATGCGGAAGATGCCCAAGTCCAGGTCACGTTCGACAACACCAACATTTTAACCGTTCAGATGGTGGGTATTCATCGCTGTGGACTCGTTCTGTGTTTTTTCCTGTTATATGGTAGGGTTTGGATTTTAGAGTAGATTGCATGTAACGAGAGAGAGAGAGAGAGAGAGAGAGAGAGAGAGAGAGAGAGAGAGAGAGGAGAGAGAGAGAGAGAGAGAGAGAGAGAGAGAGAGAGAGAGAGAGGGAGAGGGAGGAGGGAGGTAGAGAGGTAGAGAGAGAGAGAGAGAGAGGTAGAGACGCAGAGAGAGTAGAGACGCAAAGAGAGAGAGAGGGATAAAAAGAATGAGAAAAAAATATGAGATACAGATACAGAGAGATCGAGAGCCTTATCACATTAACTGGGACGCCTCGTTTCAACAGGTGGCCTTTGAACTCCCCAAGAACAGCTTCATGAGGCTGGAAAACTGCCAAATCGTGAATTGGAAACGCTCAGGATACACCGGAGGCTCTGAGCTGCGCCTGGAAAGAGTTCGTCTTGGAATAGTCCTCACCAATGCCATCGACATCGGCAGCCTCAGTGTCTTTACCATGTCCGACTGCAACGTGGCGGCTATATATGATGGGGCTCTGGCCTACCAAAGCGCTTTGAAAAGGTAAGATGCCTTTGTGTTGGGGTTAAGTATGGCGAGCCGTGCTGGAAGGATAAATTGACGGAGAGATAAACACTAG